CTCTGCTTCCTGAGTGTGGATGCGACGTGACCAGCTGCCTTGTGCCCTTGCTGCCATGATGGAACTGGAGCCAGAGGAAACCTTTGCTTCCTTGAGTTGCGTTCGTCAGTTGTTTCGCTGCAGCAGTGAGGAAAGAAGCTAAGTCGGTGCCCCAGCCACCTCTGAAAGGTCCAGTCCCTTTAACTCTGTCACAGTCATAAGGCATACCAACACCAATCTTGAGGGAACATGCTGCAGCTTCCCCACGTGTCACCCTGGACACTATCTCTGAGATGGGAACACTCATGGGTATACCACAGACCAAGGAGCCAGAGTTTGGAAGCAAAGTAACCCCACCTGGGGTCTTGAACGCACTGGGCTATGAGGAAGCCATACCCAAAACCACAGGTGAATCAGGCTCCCTTTGCTGCACCCAGAAGCTATCCTGGAACTCAATCATTTGAATGGCCTCCCCTGGGGCTCAGGGTGGTGCTGAGTCTCACCTTATACAACCAAGCTCAGAGCTTCTGGCCACCAGGTCTGTGACATTCTGGTCCAGCGTTGTCTATGAATGGCAGCAGGGGTCTTCAGCACCAACAAGTACAAATAGATTTGTGGCGCTACCACCATCCCTATAATGTATCAATTCCCATGTCTACCCATGTTCAGTAAATTTAATTAGTGGTGAAAAGCAGCTTATTTGGCAAGATGATCAGTTTTTAACCTGGGTAAATGACTTTCTTTATGACTATAAATTAGGCGCATGCTATCTTTTTCACGCATCACGGTTGTCCTCATAAACACCGGAGGCAGTTGCCGGGAGCCTCACTCCGTTACCTTTCCCATTACTGTTTTATCATCACCCCACTAGGAGTGGGGAATTCATTCTGCTTTAATGACAAAAAGGAAGTGGCGATGAGGGGCTTGTTTAATGAGGAAACTGCCTCATGGTCAGTGTCGCCGTCCATGTCTGTCCCTGCCCAGGCAAGCTCAGCTCCCCCTGGGGCCTGCCGTCCACAGCCCTGGTGAGGGCCACAGCCTTGGTGAGGGGCATACACGGGGCTTCAGTGCTGCCTTTGTCTTAATTGCAAATAATTGGGAATCAAATATTTGCCGACAGCTGATTTCCACAGCCGAGAAAGAAGGTGAGAGTTCTCATTGTCTTCCGTGACCACAGGTTGGCACAAATGTTTTCTTAACTGCGACCCCCTCAGAGCACAGTCTATGGAAAGTGGCCTGCAAGCTAATCATGGAGCAATGGACCCCAGTGGTATTTAGTCCAATCTGGCCTTTCAAAGAAGAGTGCCAAGTGGAATAGGTGCCCCTATCTGAATGAAGGTGGTCTTCTGAAGTCCCCCTTCCCCTGCCTCTCCAGGTCTCTGGTCCCCTTGACCACAGATGGCTCCTCCAGGGAGACTTAGGAGAGGCAGGCCAAGATGAATGGTCACTTCATGTGACCCCCCATCACCCTCCCCATGCCAGCCTCTGACCTGGCATTGGAACATTGGCACTAAATTGTCCTTAAAATTGCTGTGTTTCTTAAAACCTGAGAGTTCTGTGGCCACAGAAGGACAGTGACCCAGCAACTGCGGAGCCTTCTAAGGCTAGAGCCAGGGCACACATTCTAGGGGAGTAGATAAAGGGAAGGAATACGGGCTGACTAAAGAAGAAATATACTCCACCCAAGGTAAATTGGAGCTGATAGCCAGTGGCAGAGAGCAAGGGGGGTCACAGTTGGAGAAGAAACCCCACAGCTGGATCTGAGAAGCCAAAGACTTGAGCTGTTTCTTTTCAAAAGGGGCCATTAGTCAGTTCTGTTTTGCTTGCACGGGGAAGTTCATTCAGACAGCATCTAGTGGTGAGGCTTCGCTTCCCTGCCCTGTTTGGGAAGGAAGCAAAAGCTGGTCATTTCAGCACCGTGTTAGTATCTTCTAGTGGCCACTGGCATTTCCCAGGGTGGTCCATTTCCCACCGACCCAGGAGAATCCTGCTAATCAAACACACTTGGTGGCAAAGCAACCAGAAGTCAGGTGGTGGGCTTCCGGCCCAGAGCCTGCTCTCGGCAGCCTTCCCTTCCCACTGCCACTGGTCAGCCTCCACAGGAAAACCGCTGGGGTAGAAGGGGGGCTTCAGTGCCAAGGAGCCTTTGCAGTGAGGTGGGGACAGTCAGCCCCAAGAAGAAAGGAGGTTTGTGTGCCCCGCTCTGGATCTGCACTCTTACTCTGCAGAGATATGTTGGCCTTCGAGTTTATTATGATGCAAGAAAGCATTCGATACTTCTTAACTTGCCAAGGTCAGGGGAATTTAAATGAGTTATTGAATCAAGGAGTTAATCTTCCCATAACTGACTTTTTTCCCTTTCAAATCTATGATGATGAAAAGCAGACCTAACCCAAAACAGGAAAAGGATTCTTGGTTTTCCCTTATACATGTGCTTGTCCTAGGGAGTAGAAGGTTCACTGTTGACAACCAGGGCCATTCTGTCTTGTATAGTATATGGGAGATGGTTTATTTGTTTGGACTTAGTTGCTTATGTGATGTTTTGGTTTTGGTTTTTGGTACCTGGTCTTATGTAGTCCAGGCTAGACTCAAACTCAGTATGTAGCCAAAGCTGGCCTTGAACTTCTGAACATCCTGCCTCTACCTCCAAGATGCAGAGGATGACAGATGTGCACTACCATAACAAGCATGGAAGACCATTGCTTCAAAACATAAGGCAAAAATTTCCACAGCTGTAAACTCTGTGTTCACGTTTAAATTCTTGGAACTTTGGGTTCTTTTTTTAATTCCCAGCATGCCACATGTTGTCATTAATGGCATGGGGTCATCCTCTAATTCCCTGGACTCTTCTCATATGGTGGAATATTAGTTAAGTGCTCTGGATGGACTTTTCTCTTTATCAGTAAAATAAGCCACCCCCAGGCACTTGCCTCGGGATGTGAGCTCTGAGCACTACTGTGCGGAGATCCCTGTGGGTGTGTGTCAGACAGAGAGACTACCCAAGTAGTATGGCAGCTCCAAATTCCAGGGTGTTGTGGAATGTTAGTTTGAGATGTGTTACATTCATTTATGCTATGGAATATTTGTTCAATGATGCAAAGATGTATTGCATTGTTTTCCGTTGCATTTGTTTAACTCTGTAAAGCTGCGTTACTTTGCCTGCCTAAAACACCTAATTGGTCTAATAAAGAGCTGAACAGCCAATAGCTAGGTAGGAGAGAGGGATAGGTGGCTGCCAGGCAGAGAGAATAAATAGGAGGGAAAATCTGGGCTAGAAAGAGAAAGAGCGAGAAGCAGGAAAAGGAGGAGAGGAGGATGCCAGGGGCTAGCTACCCAACAATAGAGTCAGCCACAGAGTAAGAAGGAAAGAGATATATAGAATAAAGAAAGGTAAAAATCCAAGAGGTAAAATGTAGTTAAAGAGAAACAGAATAATTTAAGTTAGAAAAGCTGGCTAGAAACAAGCCAAGCTAAGGCCGGGCATTCATAAGTAAGAATAAGTCTCCGTGTATTTATTATTTATTTGGAAGCTGGGTGGCGGGCCTCCAAAGAGTTAAAAAGCAAACAAACAAACAAAAAACAAATACACCCGGATCTCAGCCTTCTGTCTGCAGATACAAGATCAGAGGACTGGTCAGGGGTTGGAGGAGGATGCTGGTGGCCCTGTTGATGGTGTGGACTCCCCACTTGCCTCCTCACCACACTTCCTCTCTAGACTGTACAGTGGCTTCACAGGGTTGATGTAGCACTTCTCAATTCCTCTGCTCAGCTCTCTCTACAGCTCCTCTCTCTACAGCTATACCTTTGCCTTGGACACTGGTCTGAAAACAAGCTCCTAAACTCCCATAGTTCCTGGATTACCTGTCTTAGTTACTTTTAAACTGCTGTAATAAAGACACCACGGTCAAAGGAACACATAGAAGGGTTTGTTGGCAGATTACAGTTCAAAAAGTGAGACAACGACCATCATGGTGGACAGTATGGCAGCAGGCAAGCAGGCATGGCTTTGGAGCTAGAGCTGAGAGCTCACATTTGATCCACAAGTGCAAGGAAGAAAGAGAGGCAGACCTAATTTGGGACAGTATGAGCCCACTCCCAGTGACACACCTCCTCCAACAAAGCCACACCTCCTAATCCTTCCCAAACAGTTCCACCGACTGGGGACCAAGCATTCCAATCCATGAGCCTATGGGGGCCATTCTTATTCGAACCACAGCACCAGACTTAGCTATATCATTCCATCTTCAACAAGAATGACTAGGTCAAAGAGAAGAGAGTTATGGCTTATTCATCTTTGAGACCTCTCAGAAACCTAGTGCACAGCCTAGCTGCAAGTCATCACTTAAGAAAGAGAAAGGTGGGTGGGGTAGCCCATGCATGTGATACCAGCACTTGGGAGGTGGAGGCAGGAGAATCAGGAGTTTGTAGCCAGTCTGGGTTAAATGAGACTCTGTCTCAAAATAAAGAAAAAGAAAAGTAAAAAGAATAAGAGGAGAAAAAAAAAGAAGAGACAGAGGAAGGGATGGAGGAAAAAACCAGTTTTATAATGATTTCGATGCAGTTCTAGACTGTGGAGTGGTCTCAGGGCACAGGAACAGGGTTATTAGCTCTGTCCTCTGGTCTAAGGCACCTCTTAGTGAGCACAGAAGGACTGGGTGTCTTCATTGATCCAATTGACGGCAAGGAAGAGCCAGCCCATGAAAGCACGAATATTCACCAAGGGCCCTCCTGTGGGTTCCAAAGGAGCAGGTGCTGTGTCTGAGATGTTCAGAGTGAATCTCATAAAAACATGAGCTCCACACAGCATGATATCCCTTTTGACTCCTAGAGCTACTTCTTGGAGGAACAGGGACTCCATGTTGTACCCAGAGGCCCTTCATCCCACCATGGGTCACCTCAGCCTTACAGGAAGTTGAGGCCTCTACGCTCCTCCTGCTTGTGACGTAAAAGAGCAACCCGGGCTGTTGGCGACTCTCTTCTCCAGCCCTGAGCTAACCCTCTGTGTTTGTGTGCATCCACAGGTCTTCCCAGCCCTGGGCTGTCAGCCTCCTGCGGGAAGAAACTCTGCAGCCACGGGAGCAGGTGCTTGCTTGACAGGGCGACGGGGCAGCCCTCGTGCCACTGTGTGGAGGTCTGCAGGCCCCGCTACATGCCTGTGTGTGGCTCCGACGGGAGGCTCTACGGGAACCACTGTGAGCTTCGCCGTGCAGCCTGCCTGCTGGACAAGCGAATTGTCAGCGTGCACAGCAAGGACTGCTTCCTCAAAGGTAGGACGAGGGCGCCTTGCCCCGGCCTGTGGAATTCTGTGATGGGTCTTCTGACACTCTTTCGGTCAGTGACGAAGGTGCTGTTTGCACAGGTCATGAGCATAGAGGAAGCGAAAAGAATGATTAGTACATGAGCCCAGCCTCCAGCAGGGCTGGGTGGTGATTGAATTCATGCACTGAGTCTCCTGAGTCATTGGTACATGAGAATGATTGGTAGATCTTTCAGCAATGTGCATTCAGTTCCGAGTCTAGTCTCCAGAGGTCTCCACCCCTTCCTCACCCTTGGAGAACAGAATCTAGGGAGGTCAAACCGAACTCTTCACTGGGGCAGAGTCTGTATCCGCACGGCACCAGACAACAGGCTATAACCCGAGTCTCCACACAGCATATGTTCTTGCAAAGTGGCAACAAAGACCACATGGAACAGAGTTCCATGGGTCAGGAAACTATATCGTACATATAAAATGACCAGATGATACCAGCAGAGTGGTCCCCAGCCAGGGGGAGAACATCCCATGCCTTGCCTTTTCAGAGAAGCTCTGAACGAGATCAGGAAACCACCACAGCAGAACACATGTATGGAGATAGAGCAGAGAACTCACTCTGCGCCGGGGTTAGGTGGGAAGAGAAGGGCGAGACAGTACGAGCCACAGGAAGGGGTTCGGTTTTATGTATTAATATGTCCTCAGCACCCGGCACGCCACAAAGGTGCTCAGAGACTTACAAATACATGTGAATGTAAAGGCTAGAATGTTGGTCCTATGTCCATGTGGCCTCAGGACACATAGTACGTGCCATGGCCTGCAGAAATGCTTGTAAGCCTGAAGTAAAATGGCCATGTATGTATGCATTAAGTTTCTTATGCTATAGAAGCAGAACGTGGCAGATGGACAGACCTACCTTGACTAATCTAGGGGACACTGGAGGTGGGAGAGCTGCCTTCAGATTCTGTGAAATCAGAGGTTTGCTTTGGATATAGCAAGGAAAGCCGCGGCGGCGGGGAGTGGGGCAGGAGTTGGGGGGGCGGGCAGGGAGGAACGTGTTTGCAGTGCTGGCCACCAAGGGCTATAGAACTACTTTGTAGTGATAAGCTGGGCCTCACAGGCTCCCCGTGACTACCCCCAGCATGTGCATGTTCCACAGGACACAAGCCTGGGTTGGGTGGTTACAGTCTAAGCGAGGAACACAGTTATGTGAGCCTCCACTCCCCCTGCCCCAAGCCACCAGCACCGAAGTAACAAATAGGTTGTTCTGGGTTGGCTGTGGTGGAGTGGGCTCTGGGAAGGGGCACTTAAGCCTGTGACAGGAATAATCTCAGACACTTTCATGGCTGTGCTCATGACGCTAATGTTCAGGTGCTTCAAAATCATGAGGTGCATTATGCAGATGAGACCACAGTGAGCTGAGGACAAATGCCTGGAGGGGTTGCCCAGCTCATGGCCGCCGCTTCCCCGGCAACCGAGCACACTAAAACACTTGACCAGTTGCTCCAGCTTTATTGGGCGTGTTGAATTTTATAGACTGATGTTCCATTCTCTGGTTTCCAATATCCCCCAAATTGCATCTTTCAGAAGGTTTTTTATTTCCTCGTTGGAGTGTGCACGGCCTCCCTTGCCGTCGGTTATTCAAACAGCATTTCTCATTTCACACGAGGGAAGGAACAATGGCCACAAAACCTGCCGCAGTGAGGGATGGCGAGGGAGGCCTCCAGCAGGGCTGGGCGGTGATTGAATTCATGCGCTGAGACTTCCTAACGCAGTGCACCACCAGTTCTGTGAACCCCGACCCATGCAGAGCTGTTCCCCTTCAGACCCCTCTTCAAGTGAGCAATGTCTGCATGGATCCCTAAATACCAGATTACATCTGGGCTCTGGGATGTCTCAGCTGTGTGGCCCCAGGTGCCTCTCTGTACTTCTCTGCTCCATCCTCTCCTTCAGCTACAACATGGGCCTGGTGGCCGTCAGTGTCTGCTCTGGCTGTGCAGAGTGAGGGAAATACAAAAGGTCATATGTTACAGTACCTGGCCCACTGCATCTGGTACGGACCATCATTGCTTCTTCTCAGCTAATGTGGCCTCAGACTTAGAGCATAGAGATGCCCAAACTGAAGGGAACACAGAGGCAGAAACAGAAGTCCACCTGGGGGGCTCTTGGGGAACTTTCCGAGCCCAGATAGCTTAGTGGTGGATAGAGACTGGGTCTGGGAGGTACTGAGTACCAAGCACTGGTGCTGTCATGGAGTATCCACCAAGAACCAGGACTTCTCTACCCTTGATCCTAGGGTCTGGACTTCTTAGAAAATCCTTTAACACAGTGGTTCTCCACCTTCCCAATGCTGCGACCCTCTAACACAGTTCCTCATGTTGAGGTGACCCCAACCACAAAATTATTTCCATTGCTACTTCCTAACTGTAATTTTGCTACTGTTATGAATCATAATGTGAATACTTTTGGAGACAGAGGTTTTCCAAAGGGGTCACAACAGGTTGAGAAGAAGTGTTCAACACCTCATGCTAGGGTTGGCTCCAGTCATGGCAGGCAGGAAGGCTCAGTCTCCTAGCATTCCTCTAGGGTGTGTCCAGCAAACTGGAGAGACCTAGGCCCTGATGAACAGGGACTCATGAGGGTGGAAGACCGATCAACCCTGAGCAGGAAACATCCCCCCAGAGCCATGGCTCCAGTAGAGAGCCAACAGCAGAGGCTTAACAGGACTGAGGTGGGGGCTAAGGAGGGAGGAAGGTATGCAGCACCACATCATCTGCTGTCTCTACCTCACAGTGGCAGCAGTCTGTTTAATACCAGCTTGAGCGCTGTCTTTAAAACACTTCTTCCCCATGAAAACACAAATTCTAAAATCATCCATCTTCTGTTCTCTGAGTGAACATAGGACTTCACTCTCTAGGAGGACATCTGTCCCCAGACGCCAATCTATGGACTCTCCTAATGGGGCCAGAGTGTAGATCAAGTCGGAGGGCTGTGGCAGACGACACTGGACCAAGGCACTGTGTCTACAGCCCCTGGAGGGAAGGCTTCTGCCGAGAGTTAGCTAGTGACAGGCCCTCGCCACACAGTGTGAGAGAAGAATCAGAATTCTAAGCCCCCTGTTCATAAGAAAACTTCTGGTATCAATCTATCCCAGTTGCTATGGTGACAGAATTCTTTGTGACAACTAAATAAAGTATCATTTAGGGATCATTGGCCTGCGTGAAAAATCAGACTAAACTGGGGTGGCTTCTACCCACGTTTGTGGCTTTCATCCCAGGTCTCCTGGGCCAGAAGCTGAGCGTCTCTTGTTCAATGTCAGGAGCAAGGAGAGGTACGGGAAAGATGTTTTGTGTATGCTTTCCCTCAGCTCCAAATACCACCAAGATAATATACCCAGATACTGGATGGGACTCACTGCCTGGCTTCATACAGAATTTGTGTTTGGAGGCATCTTGTCACAATGCATTCCTCCACGCACACTAGTTTCCCTTTGAAAAGTTATTTTTTCAGACTTGGTTTTGAAGTCACGCTCTCTCTCCTAGCAATCCCTCACCACGCTAGAGTCATGTTCCATGGCTGATCTGGTGGCATAGTTTGGAAGGATTCCAAACAAACCATGAAATTATGGAAGCAGAAAGGGTGGTTCAAGTTTGTCTTCAGTGAAGCCTCCAGCTTCCTCCCCTGCAGTATTTGCAAATGTCCTTCAGATTGCTCAGCATCCAGAGGCATGCTGCCAGGCCAGTGACATCCAAGAAGATAACTTCCATTTACATTAAAAACCAGCGAGTTAGCCGGGCGGTGGTGGCGCACACCTTTAATCCCAGCACTCGGGAGGCAGAGCCAGGTGGATCTCTGTGAGTTCGAGGCCAGCCTGGGCTACCAAGTGAGTCCCAGGAAAGGCGCAAAGCTACACAGAGAAACCCTGTCTCGAAAAAACCAAAAAAAAAAAAAAAAAAAACCAGTGAGTAGACCACACCCTCACACTCACTAGCCTTCTCTATCCTTTTCAAAGACTTATCTTCTAAAATTAAATGTGCATGTGTCTGTGCTTGTGTCTGTGGGTTATGTATGTGAGAGTAAACATGCTCAAAGAGACCAGAGGAAGGTCTCAGATCCCAAGGAGCTAGAGTTACAGGCACTTGGGAGTTTCCAGATATGGGCACTGAGAACAGAACTTCCATCCTCCGCAAAAGCAGCAAGTTCCCTTAACTTCTGTACCTCCCTCCAGCATCCTGGCTTTTTTTTTTTTATCTTAAGTATTGGTGAACAGTCATGAAAACTCAACTCTTTGTTCACACGTTAGTAAAGCAAACCTTGATGCCGAGAACCTTCTTTCCCTTCTCCCTCTCTTTTCATCTTACTGTTTATTATTACTGTTGTTGTTGTTATTATTGCTATCACTTGCATCTTGGTGCTTTCAGAACTTAAATTGGGCTTCACACTTTCCCAGGGCCATTTTTATACTTCCACAAGTCTCTTCTGTCCTGCCAGGGCAAGTTACTCTCATCCTAGGCTGTGCCAGCCACAAGAGACTCTCGTCACCAGGATGTGTGTGATCTTGCTGCAGACTTGGTGACAGAATGGGGTGTGATTTAACTCCGCCAGAGGAGCAGCCCCTCTAGCTTGCAAGCCCTCTAACAAGGAAAGGTTAGACCCGAAGAAACATGGGGAGGTCCGGGCTTCTGGGGCTGAGTGTACTGCTATGCCGCCTTGGACTAGGCCACTGAGGTTGGCCTCATCTGTAAAGTGGGTAGGATAACAGTACCTCTTTCCTGTCCTGGGGTGGTGTGAGTATGAAATGGGCCATGACTGCTTGACTGAGCACCTATAAGTGGCATTGATTGTGATGTCATTGCAAACAGCCAGGCACATTCAAGGGGCAGCTATCAAATTCCCGACCTCTTACATGACCATGATGATTAATCTTGACCATCTGCTTGGCTGGACTGAGAGGTGCCTAGGAGATTGGTAAAGTGCTCCTGTGAGTGTGTCTGTGAGGACATTCTCCACATGGTA